TCTTCACTTAGTAGCACAATGTCGTCTGCGTACTCCAGATGAGACAGCCTGCCAACTGGAAGTAAATCTATGCCACTTTCCTCGCACGAGGATAGGGCTGTTTCCGTAATCAGATCTATAACAAAGTTAAATAGAAAAGGAGAAAGAGGGCAACCCTGACGAACACCACTTTCCGTGGTGAACTTGGGAGAGAAAGTGCCTCTACCCGTTGACCTTTCAGGCATGATTGGATCTACGGCTGTGAGAAGCCATCCTATGTAGCTCGCAGGGTCACTGAGGCGCGCAAGCCATCACACCACGTCAAGGTGCAGTCTCGTCGTGATGGATAGGCAGCCAGAGAAAATCTGTGCTACTGGGAGTAGGCTGATGACATCGTGTCTTTTTGATTGTATGGAGGACGCGCAATTAGTAGACCAATAACTGCTGTCACGTCATTCGGTACCCGCTTTGTACATTCAGTATTATACTACAAGACTGTCAGCTAGTCCCGCTTTGAAACTTGATGACCAGAAACTAGTTACAGTGACCAATGACGGCAGCGGAGCAAAGATGACCACCCGCATTTCCAAAGCTCCAGCAGAGTACGCAGGACTGAAACGCCTTTGGCGTAGAAACGAAGCTTCAGTGAAGTTGAAACGTCGAGTATATTGTACAGCCGTTCGTCCAGTTTTGCTTCACGTTTGTGAGACCTCGAATTTACCAGTAGATATACATCGACTAGAAGTTTTCGGTTAGCGTGTACGATTTTTTAACTGAAATGTGAGCTCGTGCTTGCAAAAGTTATACATAATTCAATACAATCATTGGTGTTGACGTATTTTGGCCCACGTGGGATGGAGCGAACGGGTTATTAATCTGGATGTTAGCCGTCATGTGTTTGGGAGTTCATCGGGATGAACGTCCTAGCTCATTGAATTCAGATTATTCAAATTGTTGCTTGGCAAATTTGAAGTTTGTATGGCGATTGTGCAAAGTTCAGTAGCTTTGGTGGGATTCGAACCCACGTGTGGACGCCACCTACGCTTATGAACAGCGCACGCTTTACCAGCTGAGCTACGAGGCCACACCGATAGTACTGCCCTTTTCGAATTCCAATTACCCAACCAACTTACAGGGGCAAATGGCATCGATCAGTGCTATCGGTGTGGTCTCGTAGCTCAGCTGGTAGAGCGTGTGCGTACGAAGCGTAGGCGGCGGCCATGCGTGGGTTTGAATCCCATCGAAGCTACTGAACTTTTCACAATCGTCATACATAATTCACATCAGTTGGTTTCGCTGGTTATGGCACATATCGCCCCTACCCAACTGTCGTCTACAGCACCGCGCCTTATTCGCAGTAGCCGCACCGGGGTGGAGGAAACCATGTGGAGGTCACCAGATGACGGCGATGAGGGATGAAGAAATGCAGAGCTATTAAGCAGTCTCCTGCCCTTCAGGCTGAGGTTCGACGACTGCAGCGGGTCCTTTGGAGACATTGGGGGATTGACAGCAAAGTAAATCTCTTATCAGGCAAAAACGCTTGAAAAGGTATGTATGCATAGTAAGATTGGGTAAACTGTGTTAACTAAAGATTATTGTACGGTGATTCGTTTGGCACTGTCTGGCGTCAGACGTGTGTGAAATATAATATATGGAGGTCCACTTTCCCTTTTCCTGAAAATAGACCTAATCCCTGTCAACCTAACGTATTCTCACTAACTTTGTATGCATTGCGAGTTTGGCAGCGATCAATGATGCCCGCTTTACTGAATCTCGCTGTACGATGGTTATCATGATGTTGGCTGAGGCCTCCATCCGCCTCTTGTCCGTCACCGTTTTCCTTCCAGTCAGCCATATTTAGTGTGCAAATCACGATAAATACATGACAACATCGAATTGTTGTATTACAGACTATAGTTCCATCATTCAACTATCGAATTAACTACCTCGGGTGAAGGCCAGCATAACTCGACTCGCGGAGACGTAAATCCGATGAGATCGCAAGAGTGGTGGTTTCAACGTGCCATTGCGATAGGAAATTTCAGGAAGCTGTTTCATTCAATCCAGGTAACTGGGAGAAAAGCATTAGATGTGAGCAAAGCGATCGGCAAGTATAATGATTCGAGTGCTCACATTCAACAGCGTCGTCTCACATGCTTTGAAAAGCACTTTGAGGAACAGTTCACCTGGCTACTCGTGTCAGCTTTACTCATGGACATTTTAACACGCGTCCTGTGATCGGTATAGGCGAATTATCTCCCTGTAGTAGTGTCGGCAGTGAGTTATATATTCGAAACAATAGAGAACGGAACCACCCGAAAATAAAGTAATCTTATGGTCCGTTACTGTGGGCATCAGTGAAAACGCATAATAAGAAGTCGAAAATCTGATATGTTTACATATTGCCTTCGTTGCTTCAACTTAATCTTCCATAAAAATAAGAACAGTTCATTTTTAAAATTTTTTTTCTTTCGGTTCATTAGTGCAATGAAAAGCTGACGGGCTAAATCCGAGTCACGAGAACCTGCTGTTCAGTAACAGAAACTGGTAACCTAAGCCACGAGACTTGGAATAGCGAACCACAAGGCGGCGTTACGTTAAAGCCTGATTTCAAGGCGATGGAATCTCCGTAAATCACTTTTTTACTACGTACTTTCGTTGAATTTACCAATAAATCCTGTTTTCAAAGAGCTTGTAATGACCATGATTGTACGAAGAAAAGGAGCAATCCACGAGGACGTCTTCCTTTCACATTTTCTTCACAATCAACTCTAACTCTAATTGTGATATTTCTTTGTTTTAATTGTGCTTGTTTTACTGAGCACGGTTCTCTGATCAGGTGTATATATAAGTTGGATCCTGTTCAAACCCACGCAACACGTGTGACACGCTTTCGCTTTGCTACTGCATTTATTGCTTGCATTGTTTGGCGTCACCTCGGTACGTTTCGGTACTAGCTAGTACCACGATTCGCCAATAAACGTTTACGACTCCCACGAGTGTCCTTGTCTACCCCGGGCAACGAGACACTAGGAGGTCGCTCGCACTTTGAGACTCGTAAGAAGACTTACCGGCAGGCCGTCAACTCCGGTTAGCTTCAAGCTTTTACAACGTAGCAACTGCGGTTACCCAAGTGGCGAGACATCTTAGATATTTGCGTACCTATAAGGTATCATGAACATTTTACAACAAAGAACTGTCTAATGGGCAGAACCAATATCAAAAGACCAAGAGGTTAATGTGGGTGGACTACCTTTGACCGATAGTCGGAATGGGCAGCCTATGGCAAGGCTGCCAATAAAAACCGAAGTGTAGCGTTGTATTCTGATCAACCCAACTACCCTTACAGAATGAACCACCTTGGAAAGTGTTTAAGTAGGCAGTATTCTCTGATAAATTTCCAAAATACCATACCACGAAACATACCTAATTTGAATAACTCATAGGTTTAAATCAACCACACAGGAGTGGAACATTGAATGATAATAGGAATATTCAGAATACCTGTAAAAAGCTTGATTCTGAGAATCGGGTAGATTAATTTCTTCACTTATATCCTCCAATTGAATCTGCTTTAGCTGATCGTGCAACACTTCTGCCAAGCGCGTAAGATCAGCTGGGTTAACTTGCTGTTCTTCTGTAGTCTTCGTTTGTTTAGAAACATCGGCAGCTTCTGTCAAAAGCTGATTGACCTCCGTTTGTAGGCGTTGAAGACGGCTCAGGAGACTTTCATTTTCCCTAGCATTAGGAGGAAGCTATGGAAATAAAAAACGACCGTAATATAGGACTTACCACTTCATACTCATCAGCTTCAATGGTGTATCCTATTTTTCCCTGACCAGCAATGGAGTCGGAGAAATCTTTGGGAGTAGGAAGACAACGTTAAGTACATTACCAACGTTTGACGCGTCGACCTTGCACTTCGCAAATCTTTTATGAGCGTCGGATACTGAAAGTTTCATTGTCT